TTGACAGCACGAATGATAACGGGAAGTGGTTTTCAAAATTTGGTGATAAAAAAAGTAACGAAAATTTTAATAGTGGGGAAAAATTATAACATTACTTGTAACTTCTTATAAGTAACAATGACAATGACGAGTTACTTTTCAAAATAAATAACGTTGATGGTAACGTGTTACTTTTTCCAAGGAAACATAGTAATGACGGGTTACTTCCAGAAAGTAATTTTCCCGAGCCTGATAAGAACGCACGCTCACGTACTGTCGCATGAAATTCAAACGGACCTTGAAACGTCCGCATCCACGAAAAATCGATCTTCCAACGCTGAGATTATTTCACGGAGGTAGACAAAGCTAAAACTTCCTCGACACAATTTTTCTCATCCTTATATTATTATTTAATTAATAATTATTATCTAATTAATAACGTTCTTGTTTGTCGAGCGTCAATGACGTAGTGTGTGTCAATGTATGCGCGTATGTTATATTACCAAAATTGTATCGTAGATTTCAAGATTACGCGAATTGTTTATACATTATTCCCACATGTGTGGATGATCTTTTCTCATGCAAACAACATAAACTATGTAAAATATTGTAAAGTTATATTAAAATATACAAAAAAAGAATAATATTAAATTATGAGATAGTTATCGCATCTGCTTGAATATTAATTATAAATATAACGTTTAAAAGAGACAATGGATTGCATGAAATTTTATAGATAAGAATGTAACCAGAGAATTCTGCAGATCCTAACTCGTTCAGAAAACAATGTTCTAAATTTGCATTATGATTCTAAAAGCTAAATGAAGATATTAACGTACGAAACTTACATAGTTGTCACCTACATTGCTGTCATCACCATGTTTTTCTCTGTAGTGTAGAGAGTATCATGTTTTACCCAACACGTTTTACACAAATGGCTCGTAAATGCTAATCTGCATAGTTAACAAGTTAATTATGACGCAGCCATAATTAAAGCTCGCTGAGTGTAACTACGGGCATTTACCGTCCAAATATACGCGACGGTGATTAATTGTCAATTGAACATCGGCAATGCAAAGTATATCGACGGTAATTCCGCGTGTGGTATCTTCCGCTCAATGTCGCAACGCGGCGACCGTTTAATTTAATTTCGGTCGGAAAGCGTCGTTCTTTGCGGAGTCACTCTCATTCTCTCGTCCCCGTTACGAAATCGGAGACAAAGACACATCTTGTCTTTCCACAATCACCGTACTCATCTCTTCTATCCCATTACGTGATGCCAGGACTCGAAATAGTGCGCGTGGGCGTATACAATCGCGACCTTTAGAAAGTCGCGCAAATACGCACGGTTTGCTTGCGAAAGTGCACGGAAATGTCTTTTATTTTATCAGAGGCCTCTCTCATCGCGATCAAATTTCAAATCGCGAAAGTTTCGGATCTTATACGAAGATAGTACTATAGCTTTTTTGTTTCACATCAATTCTTTTCAATTTTACTATGTTTCTAATAGATGCAACAATAGACTATCGATAAAAGTTTTCTCGCTAAGAAACATAGTAAACTTCGAAGTATAGCAAATTTCGTTAGAAACATAGCAAATTTTTCAATAGCACATTTTAGTCGCTAAAACATTAGTACATACGAAATGAAAGGATAATCAGTTACTACAAAAGACGACAGAAAGTTATGAAAGTTAAGAATGGTACATATATTATTGATGAAAATTGTTTTCAATAAGAATAAAATGTATTTCAATCTCGTTTAAAAGTCCGCACAAATTTATGGGTCAACCTAATATATCTCTAGTGAAAAGATACCAGATATTAATTAAAGATTTGTACGGCATCGCGCGCAATCATGTAACAATTTTCTTTCATTAATAATTAAAAATCTATTATTTACGAAATAATAAAGGGCTTTTTGTACAAGCACGCAACGGCACACATCGCCATTACAGCTCATCTATCATATCGCACGTAATCATTCACCATCTTCTTTAATTAATGTCTGGAGTATTATTGCGAATATCGCAAAACGCATCTTTTGTGTTCATCTCATCCATTCTACGTTCCCACAAAAATTGCGGACGAGAATCTGGGACACTGTATATATGAATTTTGTCCATATATATGACCTTACATATAATCATATATAATTATACAGGGTGTCCAGTAACTGATCAAGCAACCGCCGTGTACGGGTAGAATGGATCAAAATAATCATAAAAGTTATATACCATTTTAAAATTTTCTCTATATTTATTCCGTAATTAATTAAAATGTATAAACGAATGAGCGCACGGTAAACGGAGAAGCGGTACGACAGGCTATGTGTGTAAAAGAAATGGCTTACCTCTTAGCAACGATAAATAACAGATTTCGGGGCGGAGTTACAAGCGACACGTATACGTTACTCCGCTTCGAAATCAGCTGTATATTCATTGTTGCGTAAGTCATTTCTTTTACACACAGACCTGTCCTACCGCTTCTCGTGCGCTCATTCGTTTATTAATTTAATTAATACATTTTAATTAATTAATACATTTTAATTAATTATTACATTTTAATTAATTACGTAATTAATTAATACATTTTAATTAATTACGAAATAAATATTGAGAAAATTTCAAAATGGTATAACTTTTATGATTATTTTGACCCGTACACGGCGATTGTTCGATCAGTTACCGGATACTCTGTATATGTCCATAAAATACTGTTGAATGAAAAGAGGAAAACATAATTTGATTTAACTAGACGTCGACATCATTGGCTATCATAAACGTAAGCATTTACTTCAATCGTATCTTCTCAACAGAATCCTTTTCAATGTGGACATATATAATTATATATGATCATATATGGACAAAATCCATATATAAACTTTTTATATGAATCTTTTTCCCGGGATTTCCCCACTAAAAAAAAGAATGGTTGTGTCAACCAGAAAATAGTAAAATATCGCGTAGCTTTTATTTCTGACTTCAGTAACCAATTCTTGGCTACGTTGATCTATGTAACATTATTCATTAGCGGTTCGTTGCCTGAAAAAATGCATTTTTGAGGCAACGAATCGATAGGACAAGGCAAGGTAGGTTTTCCTTGCATCAACGTATCCCGTTAATAACGCAATAACAGCTCAGAACAGGAGGAATCAATTTGCATTAATCGCAACCATCGACTTTCTTTCTATTTAACTCAAATTTGATTTCATAGTATGCTATAAAAACAGATTATTCATCACTAAAAGATCGCTGTTGTATAGTTTATGATCTTTAAAAAAGACTTCCCTCCCTTAAAAGAAATTTAAAGTATAAATTTCTAACGATCTAATATATATAACTCCGACATTATAATTTCTTCCATTAATTTAAAGTTCAGATATTGCATGTGTGTATTTGTGTGCAATGTATATTTAGAGTATACTTATATTTATATTTTTAGAGCATATGTATATTTTTATATACTTTTTCTACTTGACTCAGATTTGATTTAATTTAATATGCAATGAAAACAGATTATTCATCGACTAAATAATCGTTGACTTAGTTTATGATCTTTAAAAAAATTTTTTTTAAAGAAATTTAAGGAATAAATTTCTAACGATTTAATGTATATATAACTCCGACGTTGTAATTTTTCTAATTTCACTAATTTAAAAGATTGTGCCTTTCACGCGAGATGTCTTCATTGTCAGAGCTATATTCTATGTCTAATATATTCGAAGCATGAACTAATTCCGAAATTCGTCGTGCTGCACGCACAACATATTGACGCACGACTCGCGAAATACATTTTCCCGCGTTTGGTCGTCCACGATTGATCAGTCGCTCGAAGAGAGATGCATGAAAAATAAACCGGACCTCGCCAAGAGCGTACGGGTGAGCGCAAATAAAAATATCTTTTCGCGTGTTTTTATGAGTTGTAAAGCGGAGTCCCGAGCGACTCGAAGATTCGACCGCAAAATCACTTGTCGGAAACACGTTTTGTCATAATTCGGAGGCTCTCTTGAGACGCGCTCGTTCGGTCGCACCGCTGGTCTTGATGTGTACCAAAATACGTCTCCGACGAAAATCGGTCTATTCCGAGGAAGAGCCGCTCAGCCGACAAATATTTCCACTTCATCATCATCTTCTTCTTGACACGAACGCCAAGATGTTTTTCATCTTTTACCAAAGAAAATACACATTCTTCGATTCTAAACGCGTTGAGGATATATTTTCAAACAACCACGAGGACGAATGGACATTATCCATTCCTATTATAAAGTAGTCTTTTGGGATCAATTAAATTGAGTCAAGTGAAAGATTCAGTTCGACTTTTTACTCAGATTTAATTCTGTAGCAGTCAATGAGTAGATAAATCATTCATCGCCCGAATAATCGCCACTGTGATCTATAATTCTCAAAAAAAATAAAAAAACTTAAAAGAAATTTAAGGAATAAATTTATAGCAACGTGTATATAATTTCTTATTATTTATATATATATAACCCGTATATGTATACCCGTATATAACCCGTGTATATAACTTCGACGTTATAATTTTTTCCAATAATTTAAAATTCACATATGGTGTATGTGTTTTTGCAATGTATATTTAGAACATATTTATATTTAGAATATATTTATATCTTTATATATTTTTTTCTATTTAACTTTAATTTCATTTGATTTAACAATGAAAATAGATTATTTATCGACTAAATAATCGCCTTCGTAGTTTATGATCTTTAAAAAAATTTAAAAGAAACTTAAAGAATAAATTTCGTGCATATAACTCTGACGTTGTAATTTTGTCCACTAATTTAGAGCTCATTTTCCGAAAGTTTATTAATTTGAAGTTCAAATTTAATTTAAAGTCCAAACATTACGCGTGCAAAGTATATTTAGAGGTCTGTTTTACATCACTGAAATTGGGCGCGCTAAAAGCGACGCCTTCTCAACAGGTGATTAAATCCTAGGAGGCTAGAAATATCGCACTCACCGATGGTCGTGTAAATGGTGCCGCAGTAGAACACGGCATTCCAGAACGTCCATACTTTCTGGCCGAGGTCCGTCACACCCCGCTTATAAAACTCGTACAGGTGTTCCTCATACTTCATCAAACGGTTCGCCGCTCGTCCTTTCCAAAGCTCCATGTCCGACGCCAACACGGAATCGTCACAAAGTTCGCGGATCTCATTGAGCGTTTCGTTCCTGCGATCGATAAAGGACACTTCACATCAGGATGACTCATCCTCTGCAAAAGCTCGATTAGATCTCAAGAAATTTCTTCGAGAAAATATGCGAGAATCACAATGACATGGAACAGAGCCGCGAGGACGATATGAATCGAAACGTCTGGTCCAATATTGAATTAGGACGAGATCCAATGAAGACAAAAACGCGTCTGATCAATCGCGGAGAGCTCTACTCTAATTCAACGGCACTTTCATCACTGAAAAAAAGAAATCGTCCTTAGCCGCCCCTTGTTATCGATCACCAGATATCATATTTTGGACAATGTCTGGAAAAACTTCCTTAATTTTGTTACGCATTCAATTAAAGTCGTTTTTTAAATATAATTTATTGTATATGCGCGATATACAATTATTTCGGAGAACTATACTGAAAAAATTGAGTAAAAAGAGTGAATTCTCAGGATTATGCAAATTTTGTTGCAATTGAGCCAAATTGAATAAAAAGATAATCTGACATATCAAATTTAATAGATAAAACTACACAATTTAATTTAGTTTGTGTTGAATCTGCTTCATATGATCGATTTATTAAATTAAATTTTTAACTTATTTCATACAAACAAAAATTCAAAGAAAAACCAAAATTTTATTGAAAAATTAAGACTGTTAATTTGTTGTATACAGTTCCGAAAATACAAAACTTGGTCTATAAAACTGCATAATTTAATTTACTTTACATGTTAAGCTTGTTTCACGATTGACTCATTTTAAGCTCAACTAAATTTTAAGCTCGTTTTGCACGAACAAAAATTCAAAGAAAAATCAAAATTTTTCTGAAAGAATTAAGACTGCTAGTTTTCGCTGTATACAAACTATGAAAATATAAAATTTATGCTGCAATTCTAAGCAAAATCGTAAGTCTCGTAAGTTATTCTCGTAAAATTCGTCAGAACTTATGAGTAGATTTACAAGTGAATATCATATGTTGTACAATCACTTGTAAATATCGTAAATTATATGAAATCGTAGATTTTTACGAGTAATTGTACGACATATGATATCACATAGATTTATAAATCTATTCATAAGTTCTGACAAATTTTACGAGAACAAGTTACGAGACTTACGATTCTGCAGCATTGAATTAGAATTGCAGCATTAGTCTACAAAATTGCACACAATTGTATTTAATTTGGTTTGATTTAATTTCATGTAATTTTGGTGTATTGAGTCAACTTTACGATTACCTCATTAAACTAAATTTTGAGCTTATTCTGTACAAACAAAAATTTAAAGAAATATTAAAGTTTTGCTGAAAAAATTAGGACAATCAGTTCACTGTATACAACTCTGATATTGAGTTTTGTTCCATCGTTTCTTGTTTATAATATAATACTTTCCGTTTTCAAGAATACACCTGAAAGCATGGTTCGATAATTACATTAATATCTTAGAACAGATAATCTGAGCACGCTTCAAATTTCAATCCATTCCGTTCAGAATGGATAACGGGGCAATATTTCGCAGGCACGCGAGTATAGCTGTATGTGTATAAGAATCTTTACTGCCAATTTCTTCTGGCTATAATTCACGGCAAACATTGACCCTGGCCTTCACCGTGGTGGAACGCTCTCCACGGCCTTTGTTACCTCGAATGCTCTCACTCGCGATGTGGTTCGCATGCGAATGTACAATTGCTGAGCATTTAGCTAATCCACGCTACATATCGTGCGCGTTCGTCTTATCACACCTGTCACGCGAGGCCAATTTCTTATGGATAAGAACCGCCATAGATCGTCGTGCTCTTCAGCTGTCCTGGCCTTTGTATTAAGGACAATCGATCGAGCCCGGAAGGACCATTTCGCGACCGAAGAGAAGGGCGCGAGATCACATTCATCACCGTAATGACAAGACAGCCGGCGACACGAATGTGTCGTGTAAACGTTCCGCGACTTCGCCGTAAGCTGAAATTTCTGCAAAAATGACAATAATTCCGCGGAATGGAAGCACATGTTCCCCGGAAATTGCGCTTCTCGCAGAAGCGAAATAATCATCGCAATAATTTTCGTCTAAGTGCAAAGAGTCGACGTTACCAGTCTATATTGAGAGAAAAGAACAGTTATACAGGATGTTCCGTATCATCTTCACAATCTTTCGTGAGAACGTAGAGCGGATTGAGATAAACACAAAAGTCCCATATCGTTTTGCGATATTCTCAATAATAACGAAATTAATAAAAGAAAATTTGTGCATTGTGGTACACAATCATGGTAACAACTTTCTTTAATTAATATCTAAAAATCTATGTGGTTATTTGCAAAATGGTAGAGGACTTTTTTATTCAATTTGACTTAATGTATAAGTATACAACGGCAGATGGTGCCACTGCAGCTCATCTACCACATCGCGCGTGGTCATTCACCAATCTTCTTTAATTAATTTCTCGGTTATTATTGAGAATATCGCAAAACGGTATGGGACTTTTGTGTTCATCTCAATCTGCTCTACGTCCTCACGAGAGATTGTGAAGGTGATACGGGACACCTTGTATAATTTCTTACTAACGTTATAATCATTTCTACTATTAAATATATCCCCTTATCTTCACTATATATCTCTACAAAAAAAGTAACAATATATATGTAAGGTTATCACTACCATTATACATAGTATCAGCTTATGTAATAAGTAATTCCGGAATTTTCAAATAAAATGAAACGATTATATTTTTATGTTGTTACAATTTGATGAGACAATATGTGCAGAGAATAACAGAAGATCAAAACGCATATTTTCCATAAAATTATAATTATAATATGATAGATGTTTAAACATAACAAAAATATTATAAAATTAAAAACGTTTGGTTGAATTAACCAAATTCCTAGTGAACGAGTTAGGAAATTCCGGTTGAAGTTACTAAAAGTTTGTTCAAGTTAAGGCTCTACTATTTCTCGGGCGGCCATATTGGTTCGATAACATCAGAAGCAAGAAATTATATACCGAAAGTTCCTTGCGTTTTATTGTTTTATTTTTTACAACCAAATATTTTCTTAATCCTGAAACCTGTAAAAAGTACAGCATCAGATATCTGGCTGATATATCACGTAGCATCATAAAATAATTCTTGAAATAATGCCTACATTTTTCGGCTATCACAGTGATTTGTGACAGCTGAGATATCAGCGTGTATAAACACATTGAATTACTCGATTTTTACAATGTATTACCAGCATCACAGAGTTTGCTGCACATTTTATGGCTGTGAAGATCACGATAATATATATACTTCACAGAGAAACTGAAAAATAACGCGATAAGACGCAAGAAACTTTCCGAGGTGTCAAGCGAGGCCTAGCGTGAACCTGGCTTAGTGTTAGCCAATCAGCTGACACAGTTATTTCGTGTTCTCGACATTGCTAGGCGCCACCGTCAATTCAGACTTTTTGCGGCGAGATAGCAGAGTCTTAAACAGAAATCTTGTTTATTTGAATAGAATTCCGGTAACATCAACTGGAATTTCTGGTGCGTATATTGGGTGCGGGAAAAAGTTCGTGGCGTTTGGCACTAGATGGCATTACATGCTCAGCACTCGGTAACTACTAATCGCATCGACAACACTGACACGCGTGACATTTCAACCTTTGTTTTGAGCCGAAAAAGATTGAAATCGATGAAGTGAATCAAAAGTTATTTTATTTTGAAAATGAAGATAAATAAGGAAAAATTCGCTACATTTTGCAATATCACTACGATAAAGGCAAGAATGCTGCACAAGCTTGTGAAAAAATTTGTGCTGTTTACGGTGAAGATACTCTATCAAAATCAGCAGCACGGAAATGGTTCGCTCGCTTTCGAACTGGAAATTTCGATGTCAAAGATGAACCTCGCTCTGGTCGACCAATCACTGAAAAGTCCGATGAAATCATGGAAAAAGTTGAGCGTGATAAGCATGTGAACAGTATGGAGATTGCCAGGGAACTAGGCATCGACCACAAAACAGTTTTGAATCATTTACACAAAGCTGGATACAAAAAGAAGCTCAATGTTTGGGTTACTCACGAGTTGAGTGTTAAGAACATGATGGAACATTTGCTACATGTTCTTACATTTATGCATTTGCATAAGAACATTTGCATCATGTTCTTATGCAAATGCAGAAGTATAAGAACGTGTAGCAAATATTCCATCATGTTCTTAACACTCAACTCGTGAGAAACTCAAACATCGAGCTTCTTTTTGTATCCAGCTTTATATAAATAATTCAAAACTGTTTCGTGGTCGATGCCTAATTCTTATGCAAGTTAAAAACATTTGCGATACATTACTGAAACGGAATGAAATTGAGCCATTTCTGAAGAGAATGATAACTGGTGATGAAAAATGGGTCACGTACGATAATCGAACTCGAAAAAGATCGTGGACAAAGGAAGGAGAGAAGGCGCAAGCAATCGCAAAACCTAGATTGACGATGAAGAAAATGATGTTGTGTGTGTGGTGGAATTGGAAAGGAATCGTTCACTATGAGCTGTTACCGCCCGGTCAAACAATTAATTCCGAACTTTATTGTGAACAACTGGAGAGATTTCAACAAACAATTGAGAGGAAGCGGCCAGAATTGATCAGTAGGAGGAGTGTCGTCTCCCATCACGACAACGCTCGACCACATCTTTGATGACTTGGCAAAAATTGCGAGAGCTTGGCTGGGAAATTTTGATGCATCCATAGTCCTGATATAGCACCCTCAGACTATCATTTGTTTAGATCTCTGCAGAACTCTCTTAAATGGTGTAAAGCTGGCTTCAAAAGAGACCGTGAAAATCACTTGAAGCAGTTTTTCGACCAGAAACCACAGAAGTTCTATCGCGATGAGATTATGTCCCAAAAATATTATCGAAAATAATTGAGCATATTTGGTTTGAATAAATTGATTTTAATACTCTAAGAAAAACACTTGAATTTTACTAAAAAAACGCCACAAACTTTTTCCCATACCCAATATTTCACCAGGAATTTGGTTAAGGCAATCAAACCTTTTTTTCAAACCATGTAGCGTCATAAAAATATGATCATTTTATTTTGCACAAAATCCGAAATTATTTACTACACAATGCAATAATACAACACACAGAAATAGTTCTTCCAAAAAATAATTCTGACAATAATTCCTTCGCAACGATTAATTTTACAAATGTCAAACATTTTTTTACTGATCCCTTATAGAAATATTATACTAAGAATCATTGATAATTACTTATTATCCAGTATTTTTAATACTGAAAATAATTATCAATGATTCTTAGTATGATATTTCTATAAGGGACTTCATCATGATTCGGAGACGGTACGTTCATTTAGAAAGAGTCAATGCAAGGTCGAAAATCTATGTCTTCCGAAGAAAAATCGCGTGATTTCGCGAGACGTAGAAAATTGCACGTATAGTCAGACATTGAGTTCTTCAAACGATGTCGTGCGTCGCGAAATTCAATACTGATTAGCGTGGTAAGAGACTATTACATGGAGCTGAATGTAAAATACCGGCAGAGCCGAACAGGACTGACAACAGCATTATCGACAACTATTGCGAGATTGAATTGAAACCGCGGCCTCATCAAATTCGTTCGCTCTTCACGTGTCGCGTGTCACGTTACGATCGGATGAAAATTGACGCGCGATCTTGAGGAAGTTGCGACAAAAGTATACTTGTTACCGTTAACCAATAGATATAAATACATCAGCATTGCCGTTACTAACAATAAAAATAACGTTGTTATTGAAAAGCGTAATTTGTACTAGCATTACAAGCCAGTGAGCACAAATATCCGAAAGACATCTTAGAGACATCAGACGTCCTATTTGTTTTACAAGTCTTCACGGAAAAAAAAGATTTGCTAATATATGGACAACTAAAAATATTAACTGCAGGAACAAATTTTCTTACTTTCATAGTAAAAATTATTTAGTTGTGATATGGACAACTAAATAACTTTTACTATGAAAGCAAGAAAATTTGCTTTTGCTGTTAATATTTTTAGTTGTCCATATCTTTTTTTTCGTGTTTGAAATCGTGTTTTTTTCGTGTTGACATCTAAAATATGCAAATAAATGCTATTGATGATGCTTTAAGACAATAAAGATATTTCAATATCTCTAGAATATCCCCATGATATATTTTGAACATTTCTGCTATGTGGGTAACCTCCAGTTAATTTTTTGCGATTCTATGCCAAGTCTACTTCGGTATTGCGTTTCATTCTAGCCGATTTTATAAACTAACTTTCATTCATTAAAATTGTATTCCCCACACGTTTTGAAAATAATGAAAGGATTTAAAAAAAAATTAGAGATTATATATATATATATATATATATATATATATATATATATATATATATATAATCTATATTGTATCTAAAAATCATCATGAATCATCAGTCTTCATATTAATTCAAAATCTAGAAAAATTATTCCACTTTGAAATGTAAGCTCAACAAACATGATGACATCAAAATACATCAATAATGTATCATTAACCTTTTGCTGCATAATGTTGTACAATACTATATAATACTTATATAAATTTGTTTATATTTTTCGTGTTTGTAATCAGTGACTCTAAAAACCCCGAGTAACAAGTTTCAAGCAAATTTAGTTGATTTTGAAAATTCCGTCCGTCATATTGGACCCATCATTTTGAATTGTGTATTTTTGACATCAGATTTGTAATCCACAACTTTCCCCGAGTAATCCACAAAACCCCGAGTAACAAGTTTCAAACGAATTCAGTTAAATTCTGTTCGCCATATTGGATCCGCCATTTTGAATTTTGTATTTTTCACACCATATTCGTACTTAGTGACCGCAACAACTCCCGGATAACAAGTTTCACAAAATTATATTCACTAAAAAAAAACATGCAACAAAAGATTAGTATGTCAATTGACATCATCTTGCTGCTTAGAAATATTTTAAACCATGCTGTTGTGGAAATATGACGTTATTATTTTTAGTGCAAAGGAAAAGATAATTAAAAATGATAACAAAAATCTCAATTTTTATATATACATACTTTAAATATTCAAATCATACAGCCAATGGTGTACTCAATATAAATACCTTACTGTAAACGTGTTGTTACATTAGTTAAATATTGAAATATTGGACTAAACATAAATTAAACTGCAATATGTCGCGAAGTAAATAGATTTCTACGAATTAGTCGAGAAGAAAAATCGACGAAAATTCAGATAACAAAAAGTGGAAACGCCTTAACATATCTTAACCCTTTAGCTACGGCGACGCTGGCCGTGACGCTGTATCGCCAGTACGGAGTTCTCTGCCGCGGTGTGCATGTAAACGAAAATGCACACAACTTTTAAAACCACGAAAATAAGTGAAATAATGATTTGGAAATTACTGAGAAATGATATGGCGGAAAGCCACTTTAGTGGCGCTTCGTCCCACAAAATAACTTACAGGGAAGCCACTTTAATGGCGCATAGTAGCTAGAGTTAAGCATCTCTTAAAAACTTCTTTTGGACATTCTTTTGGACATGTTGAATAGGACGTTACTTCTCAATATGCATAGTCAGTGGCAAAATGTTACAACACTTTTCCTTAATTTGAAATTTCGCAACGTATTCGTGAGCAATAGGAGAAATTATCTCGCAATTCTCGGAAGATAAACTTTCACATTGAGTACCGAGTGTGTTTTGAAGTTCATCGAGGCAAAAGTGTCGCACTCTTACGAAGTTGAAACGCGCGCATCGAGTCTTGTTTTTTGCTCACGCTGAAGGATCTGCTCTCGACCCACTCAGCTGTTCCACATTTTTCCAGGACAATCAACGATTTCCCCTATCGCGATGCGCCCGATATATACTCTGGCGCGTGTCCCACATCCGCCGCGGTTTAATAAATGAACGAATAATAGAAGTCATATTTTCACAATATGGTCAATCGAAATCTTAACGGCCCATCAAAAGAATCAGAAAAGCCCTGGAGTTTCTTCTGGCTCGACATAAACGTGATGAAATGTAGAGTGATAATTGGCCACAGTTATACAAGAATAATCCAACTCACAAAATTATGATTTTTTAGTTTTTTTTTACCAATAAGTAGTCTATACGTCTTTTGCTACATAAAACAAAAAAGATCAAATTTTTCTATATATATTTATTAATAACAAATTACTTATTTAAAATATGGTTCTAAAAGTTGATTTATTAGTTAGAGGAATCTTTTAGCAGTCCAGCAATACCAAACATGCTAAAGGAATACGTGAAAAATGCCTTATAAGCGTCTAAAATTAATTCAAAAAGTTTTTATTTTCTATTAGTTATGCCATTTTTTATTATTTACATCTTTTACCCATTTTTTAACAGTTAAGTTTATAAATTAATACTTTTCAAAAGAAGAAAACTGATCATGCTCGACTTCTTCAAAGATTGCAAAGAACCTCAATGCTATCTAAACTTTTAAGTCACGTATCAGATTTTTAGCTTTATTTTTCTCGAAATGTACTTTATGTATTGTATTATTCTTATATAACTACGGTCAATTAATATATTTGTCGCGATATGTATCATGTCCAATTGAGAGAAATAATTACCAAATATCTTCCTTGAACTTTCTATGTTTCCACATGTTGTCATTCTCATATTTTATATCGTAAAAAATTGAATTAATTGAAAAACCACAAGTAAGAAGGGAGCATTGTGATCATATCAATCGTCATCGAACAATCTTCGATAAAATTCGATTGAATCGATTGAATTTGCTCGAATCAATCGTCAATTAAACGGCATTTAATTAAATTTATTTAGTTATTAATTGTTTATATTTTAGTTATTTATTTAGTTATTAATTATTAATTGAACAATATTTGATACCCATTTACTCGTATCAATCGTCAATAGAACAGTCTTTAACTAAATTCGTTGAAATCAATCATCAATTAAGATTGAATCAAAACTCAATTGAAACCCATTATGTTCGAATCAGTTATTAAATTGAATGAAATCTCATGGATATCTTTACAATTCTGCTTGATCACACGAAAGGACACACAACAGAATGAAATTTTACGTTTCGTATACCTCTCTTTCCGAATGTTGAAGTGAAGGATCTCCTCGTGCGTGCCTTCGACCGTCACGAAGATCATCGCCCCGGCGATACTGTACAGAAATACGATGACGAATAAGAAGATATGCGTGAACCACCTCTTGCTCCAGGAGCTAACCTGCGCACGTGAGAAGTTTATCGTCGGGCGACATAGAATGCAATAACGTCGTCTGAATGACATACACGCGAATGCGTCGCATTAACTGTTGTTCAACGTCGATGCCATCACAAACAAATCGTCTCTCTCTCTCTCTCTCTCTCTCTCTCTCTCTCTCTCTCTCTCTCTCTCTCTCTCTC